AACTTAAGATGCGCTTATGTCTCTCGCTTGATATACACGTCTTTTATTCCGCTGATGAATCTTTGTATCTTCACCCTTTCAAGCTGCTCACCCGATGTGTCTCCAATGGCTAAATGAGCCAACCTCTCAACTTCCGAAGCACATTCCTGTAGAGATTCCTTGGATTTTTGGTCGCGCTTTTCTAACTCCATCTGGTAAATCTGGCTTCTCTGTTCGCTGCCATGACAACTTTCCAGGGCTTACATCAATCCGTCGTAATCATTTCCCTCGTTTACGGATATGGTTTGCAAAAGTTCAGCAGCCGGTCCTTCCAACGCAACGAATAGTGCAGCAAAGAGGAAATTGGAGGATCTTAAGTGATCCTCCCACTTTTTCCGCTTATGATTGTTTACTACTCGCCGAATCTCCTGGCTGCGATTTGTATAGGTAAGGGGTTCGATGCTAGTGTCAGTATTGGTCGCCAAGCTATACTGTTTATCGTTATCGTTCGTGGTGCAGAATGTCGAATCGTCTATCTGTTCCGCCAACTCCATTCCTCTACGGTCATTAGGCATGCGCGTTAAAGTCGCCCAAAACCAAAACCTCTTCGCCTCTAGTAGCGCACCTATATCAGGACCTGTTAAGGGGGAACCTGGTTTAGAGGGTCAAAAAATCGATTTTTTGAAACTTATCTCATTCGATTAGAAATATATTCAGAAATATTTCCAAAAAAAAATTCAGAGTCAAATTTTTAATTGTTCCGTACAAATGGTCTCTGAGAGACAATGCGCTCATGAGACTGATAAGCGGACGCGAGAACTTTTAACGCAAATTTCTCAAAACAGTGTTTAATTTAATTGTGATTGTCGAATTTTCTTAAGCGATACCTTTTTTTACAGCTAATAGTGTAGGCTTCTCAGTGAATCTAAAAAGTAACAATAAAAAATTTGTTTTATTAATTTTTTTCAATAAATTATCTTCTTTCTTTCTTTCTTCAGAAAAACGCAAAATTTTTTATAAACAGTCATAAAAAAATTATTTTATATATTTCTTCGAATATCTTAGGTTCACATAGAAGAGCAACTCCTAAGCTAAAAAAAGTATTCGTTTCAATGTTTCAGATGAAAACTCCGATCGCTATTATGTTCACAAAAAACACTCTTCGAGCGAGAAGTGCCACAAGCAAATTCGAATTGTTATTGCTTAACAGTATCAAATAAAGTCAAAGTAAATTTTGTTTGCAAGATTTGTGTATCTATAACCTATTTGAAAAGTACTTGAAACATTTCATACATGAGGCAACCTAAAACATTCAACACTGCCGAATATCATACAATTTTCAGCGTTCTAAATCAGGTTCCCCGCTTAAGGAGGAATGTATATATTAAATATTTCCAGCTCGAAATCCTCGACCGTTGTTTATGGCGGATAATATTGTATCCTGCCTCGCTAAGAAAATCTAAACGGGTGGTGAACTTCGTTACCTGGATCGCAGCAATTGACAGGTTCTCCCGACTCATGTAGTCGACTATATCGTCAATCTCGTCTTGAGTCCGTTGCAGT